GGACGCGGGCGGGGCCCCACACGTCCATGTGAAGAGTCTGCAGCGGAGCCTTTGTCGGAGGAAACTCGGAGGAGTGAGGGGCGGCGCGCTGCCGCCCCTCGACGCAGGGAACGCAGGTAGGGGCAGGCCCCGGAGGGAGGGGAGGGAGGGACCGGGGGAGACCAGAGACAAGGTAACTGGAGGCCATGCCTCGGAGATGAGGCAGGGAGGGGTGACCAAGGCGGTGGTGCCAGAGGAGAGTCGGGTGGGACACGAGACGACACGAGTAGGGAGCAGACTCAGGACCAGACCTGGACGCTGCAGCAAACACCTGACCCGACGCAGCTACCTGACCAGACTCAGCAACCGGAGGAGACTCAGTAGTCAGTGTGTACAGGCTCGACCCCGGCTGACGGGTAAATGTGGCCATGTGTCGGCCCGTCCGAGCACACGTACAGTGGGTCACCCGCTGACTCGCAGGAGTGAACTGGTCAACCCCCCCATCCTGTAGATCAGCACCACTCACCAAGTTCGTAGAGAACGAGGGGAGGTAGAGACCTGACAGGGTGCCAGAGGGGGCCGCCGGACACGGTAAGACAGTGGAGAAGTGGGCAAGGACAGGACCTCTAGAGGGGTCCGCCAGGGAGACCGCAACTGACCGACTAAGCGGCGTAAGCGTGGTGCGGTCTCGAGAGAAGGAGCGGGAAGCACCCGACTCAAGGGTGAAGGTGTGTAAGGCCTGAGCCGACGTGGTACCTGAGAGAGCAGACTCACCAGCACCTGGGGCAGCAGACGCATTAGCACCTAGAGCGGCTGCCTCACCAGCACCTAGAGCAGCAGCCTCAATGCCCGGGTCAGGCGGAACACACAGGTAACAGTCACCCTCATCACTAGTAGACACAACATACATGGCAGCAAGAATGGCATCATAATCTAGATCAAAGATAGCAACCCCGGACCTAAGCAGCTCGCCCCAGCGGGGGATCTCAGAGGCGTCAGGGAACTGGAGACGCCAAGCGTCCGTCAAGCGGCCGAAGCAGCGCTGGGTGGTGTGCGGGCCACCGCACGGCTCACCAGTGCGGTCGCCGGTACGCAGGACGTAGGCACAAGGACCAGCACCCCCACCCTGCTGACGTGCAGCGTACCACTCACGAAGCTGCTGGGGGGGCGGGGTCTCACGAGTGCGCTGCTGCTGCTGGCGCTGACCACCACCGAAGCCGCCCCGCTGTGCAGAGCCACCCCGACCAGCTCTACCTCCGCCGCCGCCACCACCGCCTCCTCCTCCGCTCCTATTGCCACCGCCGCCGCCGCCTCCGCCTCCACCGCCGCCACCGAAGTCCCCACCCCCGCCACCACTCCCACCGCCACCCCCACTCCCTCCGCCGCCTCCACCGCCACCTCCACCGCCCCCGCCAGCCCCTCCAGCGCCCTTGCCTTCGATGCCCTTGCCGGTGCGGCGTCTCCCGCCAGAGGCAGACGCAGCGCCGACCGACTCGGTGCCAACGAAGTCGACGGCAGCAGCAGAGGCAACAGAGGGCAAAAGGGGGGAGGGGGAGCACCCCTCAAAGAAGGGGGCACGAGGGTCACCACGAGAGGCTCCTACAGCGACTATACTCTTCTCAGCTGCCAGGAGGCGTTCCTCGAGGAGGTCAACGGTAAGTGTGGTGGGGCAAACAGAGAGGAAGTGGTCCCTGACTGAGCGAAGGGAGTCAGGGAGCCCGGTGACTATGTAGTAGAGGGTGATGTACATGGGGGGGGGGGGTTCTTGGCGCAGAACTCAGCAGGAAGCGCAGCGCGGTAGCGGGTGTCACTAGTGCGAAGGTGCGTAATGAGGTCAGCAACTGTGGGAAAGGCGGCGAGGTCAGGAAACAGGTACGGCAGCATGAGGCGGCTAAGGGAAGCAGTGGCAGGGGAAGAGTAGCGTGCAACTACAGCATCGTACAAGGTCTTAGCACTCTTGTACTGACTAAAGTGCGCGCGCTCAGTGGATGGCAAGTGACTACGCACATCAAGATGGGCAGCAGCATCGCGTGTGGCCCACTGTGAGCGAACAGTGCTGTCAGCATCGGCAGCAGGGGCAGCAGAGGCGCCAGACGTGAGATCGAACAATGAGAGACCGTCCTTCCTATCGCACTGTAGGAAAAGCTGTAGATCATCGACCCAGACCTCAAAGTCAACAGCCCGACCCTCAGCATCAAAGACTAGAACGCTAGGGGTAGCCATGAAGGCAGTGGCAGTAGGCTAGGGGTAGCAGTAGCAGGCGTGGCTCGGCAGTGCTCTTACCAGGGCAGGTAGGTAGGGGCCGGCAAGCGATGGGGCAGGGACGAGGCACGTCGGCAGGGACAGAGCCGCGACCGCGGCGGCAGCTCCTGCTGTCAGTGGCGGCGGCAGTCGCGGCTGTCGGCGGCGATGGCTGCTGCTGTCGGCCGCCGCCGCTGCTGTCGGCGGCGGCGGCTGCTGCAGGTGGTGGAGGAGCCAAGAAGGGGCCAGGAAGGGTGGCGACGGGGCCGAGAAGGGGCCGCGAGGGGCCTCGAAGGGCGGCGACAAGGCCGCTAGGGGCGGCGACGGGGCCACGAAGGAGCCGCGAGGGGCCTCGAAGGGCGGCGACGGGGCCGCTAGGGGCGGCGACGGGGCCGCGAAGGGCGGCGACGAGGCAAAGAAGGGGCGGTGTCGGGGCCAAGAAGGGGCGGCGTCGGGGCCGCGAAGGGGCCGCGAGGGGCCTCGAAGGGTGGCCACGGGGCCGCTAGGGGCGGCGACGGGGCTGCGAAGGGCGGCGACGGGGCCGAGAAGGGGCCGTGAGGGGCCTCGAAGGGCGGCGACGGGGCCGCTAGGGGCGGCGTCGGGGCCGCGAAGGGGCCGCGAGGGGCCTCGAAGGGCGGCGACGGGGCCGCGAAGGGCGGCGACGGGGCCGAGAAGGGGCCGCGAGGGGCCTCGAGGGGCGGCGACGGGGCCGCTAGGGGCGGCGACGGGGCCGCGAAGGGCCGTGAGAGGGGCCGTGAGGGGCCGTGAGTGGGGCCGCTACGGGGCCGTAAGGGAGCGCGACGGGCCGCAAAGGGCAGAGGACGCGACGGGAGGGTAGGCACACGGGGCGCGACTCGGGCAGGGGCGAAGCGCGCTCCGGGCAGGAAAAAAAAGGTCGATTTTCGGTGGGCCCTTGGAAACGTTCCCACTAGGGAACCTGCTCTATACCATGTGAAAGAATGAGGAATGATTGACTAAGGAATGTGAAGGGTACAAGTATGAAACCCTAGGAAACCATACCCCTTAGTGTCTACCCCACTACAGCCTAGATATGTGAAAGAATGAGGAATGATTTACTAGAGGAAAGGGTTGGGTACAAGTACAAACCCTAGAAATGTGTTGTTCCCCATATGTACTACCCCACTATAGCCTACACAGGCTAAGTCATATAAGTCTGACAACCTTCTCAAACGTTTTGAGCCGATTAATTCCACTTATATTGCGCGCGAAAAATTACATCATCATCGACAATACGGGAGTGTCACGCAGTACACGCAGCAGATGGAAGAATTTTATAATCGCATTCCCGACATTGCCGAGGGTGAAAAAATTCAGTCCTACATTGCGGGGCTGAAAACCGACATTCGCCGCCAGGTTGCAGCAGCGAATTGCAGCAGCTACAGTGAGATCGTATTGGCCGCGGAACGATTTGACCTGGTCAACAACGGAACACGACGGCCCCACGTCGTCGGATCACGACAAGGGAATCGCTCGGCTTCAACCACGTTCCCCGACCCCATGGAAGTCGACAAATTCGACGCGAAGTCACGTCCTGCAAAAAACAAAACGATTTGCGATTTTTGCGGTGGAAACGAACATCTAATTTCCGACTGTTTTCACATGAAATCTGCACGTGCGGCATTCCGAGCTCGTGAGAGTGGCGAAACTAAAGACAAAAAGTCAAAAAACGGATCTCGTCAGTGATTGCGGATCGTGCTCGCGAGGAAAAGCAGATCCGAAAGCGTCAGCGCAATCTTGACCGAATCGAAACAGAAGGACAGCATTGGGCGCGAGATTAGGAGAATTAGGGGCGAAATCCCAAGCCCCTTGACCGAAATTTGTTAGACGCATTCGCCGAGGAAAAGAAAACCTTCGCGAAAAAAGACTCGACCAAGACGGGAACTCTCCAATTCGACCCCGAAAAAAAACAGAATTCGTTAAAGTTATCTTTCAAAGATGCTTTAATGAAGACTCGTGATTTTCGCGGGTCCGGAGCCATAAAAAAATTCTGGGAAGAACTCCAGAGGAAGCAGACAATTAAAGAAGTGGTACCGGTGCCTACGGAGCTGGGGAAAAAATTAAGGAGTGTGGAAAGGAGCAGGCCTTTTCACGGTGTCAACGTCTTCTCCCGGAACCAGCCCAAGACGACTCTCCACTCCCAAGGGAAGAAGTCTATGGAGCTGAAGCAGCTGAGGTGGCGGCTGGGAGTTGAAAAGAAGCTGCGAAAACTCCGAAAACCCCTCCAGGATGCATCCAGTGGATCGCAGGCGTCGACCGGATCCACCCCCTCAGGGTCAACCTGTACGGTTACTACCTCTACTCCTGGCGTTGGAGAGGAGCCTTTCTCCACGCAGCCCAGACCAGCTGTTAGTCCAGGAGCAAGCAGTGGAACTACGGTGTGTACTGAATATTGGGATGTACCCTATTATCCTATTAATGAGAAGTTCGATTTTGGCTGCTGACATGTTGTCACAGGAGATGGAAGAGTGGAAAACACCGAGGATGAGCAGATTGGGGGGAAGGGGGAACGGGCACACAACATGTACGAGTACCACTCAGATTACACGGATGAAATGCCATTCTACCAACAATATTGCAAGTACAACTTTAGTTGACATATGAACCACCATGATATCAAGGACTGCATACAATCAGACTCTTCCCCCTCTAACCAACTCCCCCATCCCCGAACCAGCTCACCTATTTCATAATTCTTCTTGCATCTCCTTGCCATCCCCGTTTCACCTTCATATCCATGCCTTCCTCCTCTTCATCTCCATTCACTCAACGTCCTCCCCGTCTTCCCCACTCCCCTGCCCTTCACTCTCCTCCGCTTCGCTTCCTTCTCCCTCCTCCTCTTCACTCCCCCCTTCTTCCACCCCTGTCTCCTCTATCCCCCCATCCTCTTGCCCTGCACCACCCACCACATGCTCCCCCTCGTCCAGGTTCGCTGTACCAAAGATCACCACTCTCTATCCTGCCGACAGCAGCGGGCACTCCGTGACACTGCATGCCTGCAGCTTCTCCATCTGCCGCAGACCCGTGGGTAACTGAGCAAGTTGCTCGCATAAGTGCAGATGCAAGTCCTCCAAAGAGGAGAGCTTACAGAAGTCATCTGGAAGGCACGAGATTCCGATTCTGGAGATATAGCACAGCTCCAGCCGGCACAGACAGGGGAGGGAATCGGGAAGCTTGGTAAGGCCTGGGCTGCGATATATTTCCAGATACTGAAGCATCTTCAGCTGCCTGAATGACTCGGGCAGCTCAGTCAAGCTCGGGAGACTGTCGAGTCGGAGGGTTGTGAGTGCTGACAACCTCCCTACTGTTTCCGGCAGAGCTAGCAAGCTTTTGGCATGGCTGACCGTGAGAGACTGCAAGCGAGAGAGGCAAGAGATGGAATCTGGTAGCGAGACGAGGTGACACATTTCCAAAATTTCCAGCCTGGTTAGCGATGGGAAAGAGCCCAGCGATGGGCTGAGCTGCAGGAATCGAAGGGCCGCAAGCTTAAGGACCTCAAGGGATGGAAAGAACACAGACTCGCCACTCTCCTTGAATCCCGCACAGCTGACACTACTCTGTGCTTTTCCTCCGACGCTGAGGAGGGTGCTGCTCTCCCCAAGGTCATGCCCGGCTGCTCCCAAGTGTTCATCCCCAAACAGCGACTGTAGCACGCTGCAGAAACTCACTTCCAGAGATTTCAGCCGCTGCAGCTGACACAGCGAGCGAGGGAGCGACTTCAAATCGGGTAGTTGTACGAGCCTCAGCTTCTCGAGCGCTCCCAGCCATCCGATTTCCCTGGAACTGCTGTGATTTGCTCGAAGCTGAGCAGCACGGGGCTGGTGAGAGTGCAGGCGGTGGCAGGGAGGGAGGCGGGCAGGGCGGTCAGGTGCGGCAGGAAGGAGAGAGAAAGTTTCTTGAGGTTTGTCGAGCAAGCCAAACCACCTGGCAGGGTGCCGAGTAAGCTGGTTACACCACGGATTTTTAGGGTTTCGAGGGAGGAGAGGCTGGAGAAGGAGGGGGGAAGGCAGGTGAGAGCCGTGCACTCGTCCAGTTTCAGTCCGCGCAGGCTGCGCAGTCCATCCCCCATGCCCTGCGGTAGCACTGTAAGGTTGCGGCAGTAACTGATTTCCAACTGCTCCAGGGAATTCAGCCGAGTGAGGGAGTCTGGGAGCCATGCCAGCGCGGTACATTCAGAAATCTTCAGCTCCTTGAGGCTCGTCAGGTCGCCAAGCGACGCGGGCAGGCTGGTGAGCTGCGAAAGCTTAATCAAGCTCACGGTCTCTAAGGCAGTCAGCTGCCCAAGATCCTCGGGCAGAGATTGTTGGGCGGAAGAGTTCTCAAGCGAGAGGTGTTTGAGAGCTGTGGCAAGGTAGACGGAGGGCGGCAGGTGGACGCGATCGACAACGTCCAGGCTGAGCGTGCGCAGGTGTGGCAGTCAACCCACGCCGTGAGGTAGATGGTCGAGCGTCAGGTCGAGCAGTGTGAGGTCCGTGAGGGACGGCAGATGCGAGAGGGAGTCAGGGAGGGAGGAAATATCGCAGCAGTTGATCACAGAGAGAATCCGCAGCCGCTGCAGCTGCCCGAGACTCGCGGGCAGATTTGTGATCCACCCCACCTCCTCCAGTCGTAGGGTTTCAAGCGCCGGAAGGTTTCCGATACTCTCGGGCAGCGGTGCAAGGTTATTGCAGTTCGAGATTACGAGGGTCAGCAGCGACGAGAGGTTGGAGATGGATTCAGGCAGCTGAAGACTTGAGTCGCTGATGGAAAGATGAGTCAAGTTGGTAAGCTGCCCTAAAGAATCGGGAATGGATCTGAGACGCCTGCAGCCGTCCAAACGCAGCGATTTCAGCAGCCTCAGAGTGCCGAAATGCTGAGGCAACTCACCCAGATGGAACATTTGAATCTTCAAATGCTCGAGTGCTTGTAACGAGGTGAACGCGTCTGGAAGGTGAGAGACTTTCTCGCTGTTGATGTGCAGGCTCTTGAGTGACGCAAGGCTGTTGGTGCAACCCTACGGTTTGCACTCGGCTTGTTGTCCGTGTGCGTGCATGTGTGTGTGTATGGAATGGTATGAGGGCATGGGATAATATATATTTCATGCTTATAATTGTGTGTGAATGTTGAGTCATGATGTCGAGTGTGTGTGTCGAGACAATAGCGAGTTATCGCTAGACGCGTGTTACGCGGTCGTTTGTGTCTCGCACGCGGTTTCTATTTTGTCGTGCGCGGTTTCTATTTTGTCCTGTGTCGAACGTTCGGCGTGTCGCAGGTGTGTGTAGAAGACCCATCAAGAACTCAAGGATGAGTTTGTGATGAAGAGCCCGAGCCTTGGTGTCAAGCCTCAAGTGATTTCGAAGCTCGCCAAAAGGGTGCACCTCAAGATATTGAAGATAGTTACATTACTTTGTGTAGTGTAACATTTCACTTGGTGAAGGCCCTAGTGAAGGGTAGTTTCGAGACCCTTCGTGGTTGGGGACAGTGTGGCACTGTTCCACATCACTGTACCTCGGCTCTTGGGGTTTGTAGGAGCTGGGAGTCATTCCCAACTCGTAACTCTTCCTAACTCTTCCTATCTTGTGTTCTAAGACTATGTTGCTGCCATAGTGCCGTTCGTTCAAACCGACGCTGTGTCGTCAATACTTGGTCAAATCGTGCGATCTAAATTGCCTAGAGTAGGCGAGAATAAGACGCTCCAGATCCAAGTTGAATCAAGACATTTGATGTTGTGAACAGAACGCTATGAACGTTTGAAGCCGCTGTGCAGAAATCCGACTGTGCACTCTATCTTTCGTTTTAGGCACATTGGAGACTACTGTGACTATAACAAAGGCCGCCGATTGACGAAGGAATGGTGGTTAGATTCGACTGACAGGAGAGTTGAAGGTCCTCTAGCCGAGTGCATTTTTCGAGAAGATACGAAAGTCCGCTCTCCATGAAACCCCCGCGCCTGTAGCGTCCGTCCATCGTACCGACGCGGAGGTCCGTCAGATCTAGACACGTGTCGGCTATCCGCAAAAGGAGGGAGTCATGGACGGACGTGATGCTGCCGTGGGCGAGGACGAGCTTTCGCAGCCTTGGGAAAGACGAGATTTGCGCGAGCAGCTCGCGAGGACGCATGCGACGCTTTTCGCGAATCTGAATATGGTCGTGCACGCGACGGGCGACGCGATGCCATTCCTTGCACACAAGCGCGTGCTGGAACTGACCGTCGAATCGAGGTACGAGATGCAGGATAATGGCGAGGAGTTCGTCAGACAGCAGTTCGAACGGTGACGCAGCAGCTCTTCTGGCTATATGATAAGACGCCATGGGGACTACAAAAAATGCTTGGAAGACTAATACGGTCGCAGTGAGAGTCTCGACACAAGTCTTCCAACAAGGAGGAACCTCGAGTATTGTTACGGGTGCAATGAATCGAAGTAGCGAGAATTGCACTAAGGTGTCAAACGAGTAAAAAATGTGAGCGAAGGCATCAGCGAACATTTATACGCGAAACATGCAAACGGTAACGCGGTACGTGCGAGCTAGCTAGTGCTACGCTTGCAGCGAGGCTCGGGCTAGTCCCGAAGCGTAGGCCGACACGGCCGGGCCAGCAGTGCGAGGTTTGGTGAAACAGTGCGCGCGAAGTCGGCGAAGCCCCGTTTGCAGTAACGGGCGAACAACGGCTGCTGCTGTACGCGATGTTGCAGGGCGCGCTAGAGAATATCGAGAAACTTCCTTACACTACCCCCCCCCCCCCTCTCAAGAAGCCCCCTCCGCTACGCGAGTGCGTGTATATCGCTGAAACCCCGGCTCCTCAGGTACACTTGCAGAGCAGGGTGGTTTTCGATGCTGGCCAGGGGCACCCAGCTATCATCAGTTGGCGTTCGGTCCTTCCAGCGAACGAGGAATTCAATCCTCTTGATTCCCGTGGGGTGTCGAATGTGAAGAAATGAGGAATGAATGAACTAGCAAGCAGGTGGGTACAAGTAGGAAAACCTAAAAGTGTTGTACCCCATATTGTCTACCCCACTACAGCCTACACAGACTATAGCATATGAGTTTGACACACCCCCATAGGCAAAGTGGGGGAGAACAAGAGGTCACAAGACCAGTCAAGCAAAGCAAAGCAAGCTCAGGGTGGATCACAACGTCACCACATATTCCGAGCACAGGTTCAAAGGCAATAAGGCCAGTTCACATGCAAGATCAAATATAAAGGTAAACAAGCAAGTGCAGGTATAGAAAGATCAAAGTACAAGCAAGGTCAAGAAGTGAGCAAGTGAGGCCAAGTAGGCACAAGACTTAGCATCGTGCAGAAGCGCTGATGATCACAAGGCGGAAGTGCCTTGGTAAAGATATCAGCAGTGTTGGCCTCAGAGGCCACGTAAGCAAGGCGCAGCTGACCACGCTGCTGCAGCTCACGAGCAAGGAAGTAGCGAAGAGCAATGTGCTTCGTTCTGTGCTCCAGTCTGTGCTCCCGACACAAGGCCAGCATGGCCTTGTTGTCTACGTACAGAACTGAAGGAGAACGAGGCGGCTCTCCTAGGTCAATCAGCAGGTAGGTGAGCCAGCGTAGCTCCTGTGCAGCCATGGCCCCCGCGTAGATCTCAGCCTCACAGCTGGAGCCGAGACCAGAAGACGAGCCGGCAGACCGCCATGAAACAGAGCCGGAACCAAGGCTGAAGGTGTAACCCTGTGACGACCGCTGCGTAGCCTGGTCGTCAGCCCAAGAAGCGTCTGCGTGACCTGTGAGGACCACTGGACGTCGCCCTCCAAGCACTAGCCCCATGCCCGACGTACTGCACAAGTAGCGCAACACCCTCTTCGCTGCAGCCATGTGCTCTGGTCGGTGTCTCCCAGGAACAACATAGCGTGCCAAGATGCTAAGAGGGTATGCAAGGTCAGGTCGTGTGCAGCTCATCAGGTACATGAGGCAGCCAACAAGCTCTGGGTACGGGCCACTCGGCT